GGGAAAATCTCCTCCGCCCCTCGCACCCGAGCCCCTGGCTTGCAGCGAGCAGAGGCCCCGGTCCCCGCGTCCTGGGGTCCACTCCAGGACAGGGAGCGGGCCCGGGGGAAGGTGCAGGAGTTCCGTGCTCCAGCCCGGTCAGCTTCGCCTTGCCCCGCCGGCTACACCCCTCACCCTGGAGCCTCGCCTGGAAGCTCAGGCTGTGCCAGATGCCTTCATTTCTCCCTTCCCTGGAGCTTCGTATGGAATGGCAGTTATCTGAAGACCTGCCACTAGGAGCCGAGCACGCCTACAACCCCAGCATTCCAGGGGCTGTGTCAGGAGGACGGCAATGAGCCCGGCTTGGGCAACTTAGTGACTTTGTGAAACCCTTTCTCAACATTAAAAAAAGTTTTGTCTTGTTTTCCGGTACTGGAGATCGAACTCAGGACCTTGCGCTTGCCAGGCAGGTGCGGCACCACTGTCGCTCAGTCAAAAACCCTAGGTTCAGTCCCTGGTAACATATACATACAAACATGCACACGCACACCTCCCATGGAGCAGCTGACACTTCCGTACTCAGCAATGCGGGTGCTGCCTGCTGCCGGGCTCCCCCCTACCCTACCTGCTTGCTAAGAGGCCTCCTTTCCTCACAGCCAGGGGACACTGCAAGGTTTCACGCTGGGTGAGCCCATATCCCCCGGGGCCATCTGCCACCAGCAGCCTCAGGACTCATGGCTTCAGTCTGTCCATGTTCCTAGTGAAAGACAAACAGGAAGACCAGGCCCTCTCTGCTTCTGGACCTTGCTGTGATGCCCAGAAAGTGGTAGCCTCTTTGCTTCCGGCTCCAACAAAGCCAAGTCCTCTCCTGACAGAAGGGTGGCATCTGAGCACTGAGTAACTGGCCCCGTGGCCAGCCTCTCCTGAACTTGCCATACTCAGGGGTGAGGCTGGACCAGCCAGCTGGAGCAGAGATGTTCCAGGATTGCAGCTAAAGTTCCCTGAGTGTTTGCAAAGCTAAGTAAAGTTTATTTTAGATCGTCAAAAGATAGAGAGGTGGGCCCCAGGCGGAGCTGAAGCAGTTGAACAAAGGAAAGTCAGAATCAGAGAGGGAGACAGACTGTCTGGAGAGGAAGAGAAAAGATGCCTCCTTCACCCAGGCAGTGGTCTCCTTCAGTCCAACATGGGGAGCTGGGGGGCTGGTGGGAATCTCAGGCAAGCTGCAGGCTGCAGGAATTCTCAGCCTTCGTGGCTGCATAAATCAACCATACAACTCCCCTGACCTGTCTGTTTCTCTGGAGAACCTGGATGGATACACCCAGCAGAGTCCGGCTCATATGTCACTGTCAGCGGAGTCCAGGCTCCACACCATGATGGGATTGCGGCCCGCCAAGCCTGCCACTAGCTGTCATGCCGTCATACTACCCACCTGGGACCTCACCCACCGTGAGACTCAGGGACCCAGAAGGCAGCAGGGTGACCACCTATCACTGTGGGTATCTAGGCTGTGTTCTGGAGTTCAGTATAAACGAGATGGTGAGTGACCATGGGAGTACACACACTAGCGTACACATGTGTGCAAATGGCATGGGTGTGTGGGCGATGTGTGCGAACGCTGTGAGAGATGGTGTTGAGAATGTGGTGTGAGAGGGCCTGTGAATGGTGTATGTGTTAGTGTGTGAAAACTGTATATATATGTGAGGGTGTATAAAAATGTGTGAGGGTGTGCATGTTAACAGTATTGTGGGGCACTATGCAGACATATATGAGGCCATGTGTGTGAACAGCGAGGGCATTCATGTGAACAGTATGTATAAGGGTATATGTATGCATGAGTGTGTGTGCATGAACAGTGATGGTATGTTCATGAACAGTATGTAGACAGCACTGTGAATAGTGTGTGAGGATGTGTGTGTGTGTGAACAGTATTGTGAGAATGTGTCTGTCAACTGTCAGGGCACATGTGTAAATAATATACGCGAACACATGTATGAACAGGGTGAGGGCAGGTGGGAATAGTATTATGAAGACATGTGTGAACCACATGTGTTGGTGTGTGTGAGAGGAGGTGTGAACTGTCTGTGAGGGTACCCTGTGAACAGTGTCAGTGTGTCTGAACAGCATTGTGTGTATGCAACATATGTGTTGGGGCATGTGTGTGAGTGCTGGGTGTTGGGCTGTAAGGCAGGTGGACAGGACATAGGATGCAAGATACTGCAGGGCAGGGCTATAGCCCACAGTGCTGTCACACTGGGAAAATATGTGTGCATGGTGCTCACAGGGACAGGAGAGAGCAGGTGTGAAGCCTCCAGAATCCTGAGGTCAGGTGGGTGGAGGAGGCTGAAATGCCATTCAAAGCCTCAAATTCTCCGAGGCTAGAAAAACACTGGAGTATAAATACATGCTTGATCCACACAGAGGCAACATCTAGGAATCTAGAGCAGTCTGAGATGTGACTGCATTATGTCTTTACATTTTCTGTAGAAAGGATTTCCAGATTTCTCACACTGTACCAGTGAGCTGTAGAGATTTCACACTTCCGCACAGTTCAAAAAGAACCACAAAAAAGCATTTCCTCTGAGCCAGCAAGGGCTGCAGAACCAGCAGTCGGCAGTGCCTACATGTCTCCCTGAGGTCACACAACCACGGGCCTGCGGTGTCCTCAGTCACACACTCTTCCTGCAGAGGAAATGCACCCTGGCCTTCAAAGCCCATGTCCTCATACAAGATGCAACCAAAAATAGCTCTTTTGAGGAGGGGAGCATTATTTGTACGCAGTGTGGATTCATGTTCACTCCATGATGTAAAACATCTGGAATGAGCAAGCTG